TGAGACTGAGACTATCGTTCGAGACAGAAATGTGGTCCTGACAGACACGGATCATATAGGAGTTACCTTTTGGCTGCATATCAAAAGGCGAACTGAATGTTCGAACCTTGCTAATATAACCTATGTGTGTTTTGACAGATTGTTTTGAGGACCCTGACATGCTGAACCATGCCGGAATATGTTCCATGCATTATGCATAGCCTCAATACCAGATGACATGTGCCAAACTATGCAAGTATCAAAGAATACAGTTCCTTCTCTCTCTCTCTCTTTTCATTTGCTGTGCTTGGTCGCTGGACCGACATCCAAATTAGACAATTATCTGAATTCTCATTCCTTCTGAGATTTGCACTACGAAAAGATCCTATAAAGCTAAAGAATGCCATTGAGCAGAACAATCATTTGTTATGTCGTCAATGGGATACCAACATCTAACAATAACAAATGCAAGCCTTGCTGCAAAGAATCACAAGAAAAAATACTTGCTAATTCAGGCATCATTTGTTGTTCCCTGTACATGCTGTGCTGCAGTTAACATTGGACTCCCTCAGTATTGCTCTTGCATAGTGAGAAAAAAGAATAACACTAAAGATTTTATACTAAAAATGAGCAGCATGGAACTGCACTTTTGCAATGCCCAGCTGCCTATGAAAAAAACTCATCAAACTGTAACGAACAGTGTGAAATAATCTACATTATATCTTGGTATTCTGCAATATAACTCGGGCTTCATGCTGCAGTCATTCAGACATTGTAGATGCTGTTACGGCAACATTGGCAGTTTTATGCAGAAAGCATTTCATCCTATTCTCCTTTTGGTATTTGATTGAGCACCGCCTCGTCAGGGGTGTATTTGAGTCATCATAGACACTGCAGGCCAGGAGCGATTTTGTTTATTTTCATGATAACCTCATCATTTAAGCAAAGCCCTTGAAGTCTGTGGTTCAAATGCTAAAAAATGAGTGTTGGTGCATTTCATGTCCTATATTAATCAGTGAATATTGCATTCAGTCATGAACTTCTCTCCATTAGTCATGTACTTCCTCCAGTAGCTCTTATAATCATGTATCCCCAAGTCAAGCCAAGGTTTCATCACACCATTATAGTGCAGAGTAGCAGCCTTTTCTATATCGACGTGGCTAATTCCATAATCATGTCCAAGGCCTGATTGAACCCATGAATCTTCCAAAGGATATACCAGATCTTGAAAGGCAAGTAAACTTGCAGGGAGTGCTTGCAGTCGCTGTGATTTCAGGCTGTCCTTTCGCAACTGCAAAAAAAGCAAAGTTAATATATGATATGGCAGCTGCCTTCTAGATATAAGAGAATGGCAAAAGGATAGGACTAGAGCTACCACATGTAAACCACAAATTTTCATGAGATAACAATTGATAATTGTTTTTGTTGTTTCTTTCTCCTCTGTACAGTTTCTGGCTTTTGTTTTTTAATAAAATCTCACAGTGGGGGCCTCCCCTGCTGTATTTTTCGCACAAAAAAAAAGGACGTACCCCAGTGCAGAGAGCTCCCGCTCTATGCGGGGTCTAGGGAAGGGTGTTAGTGGCAAGCCTTACCCTCGCTTGTGCAATGCGAGGAGACCGTGACTCGAACCCGGGACCTTCAGGTCACAGGCGGTAAGACTCTACCGCTTGCACCAGGCCCGCCCTTCATTTTTCGCTCAAAAAAAACAATTGATAATTTAATGTGAATGCTGAGTTCTACTGACCTTTTGGAACGATTGATCATACAAACTGGTAATGCCCATGTCCCTCCATTTATCCAATTCAATGACATTCAAGCCAGACAACCACACACATGAATTAGCATTGACATTATGGTCTGCCATATAAGGTTTCAACTGGCCTAATCTCACTTCACAGAACTGAACAGCACCGATCACTTTACCACCCATATTGAGGTTCCACAGAGATGACAAGTCTTTCTGGACAATCAAATCATCATCCAGAACAACTACTCTATTCAAGCTAGGAAGAAGGTCGGGCAAGAGGAAATGTGAATGGCCAAAAATAGATATGTACCCGGTTTTCATCTGCCTCTGGGAAGGTTCAGAATGATTACGAATTGTGACACTAAATTCCTCTGCGGGCCATAACTGTTGCATCTCAAGGGAATGTATATCCTTAGAGAGCTTCTGGTTGTCCTCAATGTTAGTAACATGAACAGTTGCCTCCAAGTATGAATTTCTATCAAACCAATGCTTCATCGCATAAAAGTTCTGCGCATCAGTGAACAAATGGAAAACAATGTGGTCCGAGTTCTGAAATGTGTTATTGGGCATAAGTTAGTGATCAAGATGAATTCCACAGAATAGTTTAGATTATTTGAAAATAATGGTATACCTGGGAGTTCATAACTGCTGAATTGATAGTGGTGGAAGCTGCAAGTACGTTCCTGGAAAATATTACATAGTGATGGAAGGTAGGACTTTCAAGCTCCTGCTCATTTAACTGATCCATATGACTTGATCTGGATTTGAAATATTCTACTGTCAATCTCATGTTCAAGCAATGGTGAGTTTTCGGCATAGTCTGGACCCCAAGATGATATAGAAATGCACTCTGCCTTGTATGGAAATAAGCTTCATCTTCAGTTATATCAAGTAGCTGCCTAAGTTTCCGTTCAACATTCGAGCATCCTACTTCACAAGACTTGGCTCTCTCAATTGTGTGCTACATCTTCTCCAGCTTCTTTGCAAAACTGAAAAGAGTAACCAATCATTGCCACCAGAAATATTTTAAGAATAGAATAAAAAAAGACATTGCAATGCATTATTTTATCAAAATTAGGTCACAAGCATCATAATTGTGTATGCTCATCCTTTATTTCTTGAAGAAATGCAGACACATAACTAAGACAAGAAGCAAAGCCATGTTAATGGATTGCACTAGTCACATATAATTCATTTATATAGTGCAAAAGTTTATATGAAAAATAAACAAACACATATGATTTTAAAGCTAAGGCGAGACTAACAATGGTGGAAGATCGGCATCTGTGATGGTGTCACTCAGCATGCGTTCATGCTCTTGGATGTTTTGCTTCAGTTCACGTGTAAATCTTTCCTGTTGCTTCAATTTTGCAATGCTAGGATAATGAGCTCTTGCTAAAAAAAGTTGATCTTTAAGCCTCTTGACAATGGCATCCTTCATTACTTCCCTATGTTCAGAAGACCAGAGGCAGTAACTCCCATATTCATGTTCACAGGACTTGGTATTCTCCTCATGCACTGTCTCTTGACCATAGTTCTCTTTCCCATTAACAGTCGTATCCTGTCACAGAACAAATTAAGTTTCCTATGGTAGAAAAGTAAAAAGATTCTGAAGGATTCACTAGTAAAAAGAAAATTAACGACCCTGTTCTTAAAGCACAGATCCTCACAAGAGCACATGAACCATATCCTGTACCAACAGCTCGAAAACCGTACCGTATGTTTAAGGGAACACAATTGTGCATTGCATTGCACCACAATATATATTATTACCTCACCTGACGTACTTACTGCTTAGAAAAAAAACCGTCTTACATTCTTACTAGCAGATGTGAATGTGCAAAATGTAGCCTATCAACTTTATTTGTGAAATCTCACTGAAAGTTCAACCCACAGAAACAACATACAAGATTACTGATGCCAAACTGATCAACAACACTTCACCCCATAGCACAAAGCTATTTGGCTTAGATCAGTTTCTGAGCTATATTACTACTCCCTTAGAGTTCTAATTTAGGGATCGGCCTCGGGTCACTCCTGTTTCAAAAAAAAAAAAAAAAAATCCCTTGGCAACCTCGGTGCTTGGGACCAAGCCTGTTCTCACCAAAGAAGTGGAGACACTAGAAGCCGCAGGAACTATGTTTTCATCACAGAAAAACTAAAATAGCCAACATAAGAATAATAAGCTAGCAGAAAAAGCAAGGAAAAATCCAGGCAAAAACTCAGTTCAACTCGCACAACAAGATATAAAAGCTAGAAGAATTCTCGCCTTCGACTGATGCTTCAAAATCTAATGAGTTTGACCATTTGCGCAGCATTTTGATCGTCCGCTAACCAAACAGACAATCGAGGCCTTGATGGCCCTGATTGAGTACTGGATGCCCCAAATAGAAGAAGAACGCAGCAACAGCAGCACGCTTGAGAGTGGGGTAGGGAAGAGAAGGCTACGGATAGGTCCTTTTAACTTGTCTTTCTTGTTGTGGGCTCTCCAACTGGTTGCTTTTCAGCCTACTTTGTTGCTGATAGGTGCTCTCGGTCTTTGGTTTCTTGGTAGTTCAGCCTGGGTTGCGTCCTTCCAGAGGTGGTATTTGTTCTAAGTTGTCTTTGGTGCATGTGATCAGCTGTCCGTAGTTCTCAGCAGTTCATTGTAGGTGTGGCTGTCCTCTTTTGTTAGTGGTTTATCGTGGTTGCTTCTTTCTTTTGGTCAGTTTTCTTCCACTGTTTCCAAAGCGGTTAGTTGTTTTTCTTAGTAGTATGGAGTGCTCCACTAGTAGTGGGTCTTTATCGGCATTTTTAGCCGAGTGGTTGTTGTTTTTCGGGCCGGTTTCTCCTTAAAAACTGGGTCTATTCTTTTTCTTCTAATAATAAATGCGGCAATGATTTTGACGCTCTTTCAAAAAAATAAAGTACTTACTGCTTAGAAAGAAAACCATCTTACATTCTTACTAGCAGATGTGAATGTGCAAAATGTGGCCTATCAACTTTATTTGTAAAATCTTACTGAAAGTTCAACCCAGAGAAACAATGTACAAGATTATTACTGATGCCAAAATGTTCCTATCATCGCATTTGTGTTTACTGTATATATTCATGAAAATTGTTGACTGAAGCTCCAGTGATTAAATGGTCATGTCAACAGAAGCGCAACAAACTGAGCTCACCATTTTGGGCACGGTAAGCCCTTGAGGCTACTCGACTAATATTCAAATATGAAAAATGAAGAGCTGCAGACTACTGAATCGTAAAATCTAGGGAAATAAGAGGTTGCATTTACCTTTGATCTCCAGGACAAGTCCTTCAATTGATACCTTTTGGACGCACGAGGTCCTGAAACATGACTGAATACAGTAAGATGGATACTATCAACGTCTCGCTGTTTGTACTCTCCGAACGCTTACCTTTACTTTTGAAGGTGTCATTATTTAGTCCAATTAAAGAGAAAGCGCCCTTGAGCTTTGCTTTTGATTTGATAGCATGGTCCTTGTTAGACTTCGATCTAGTAGATCTCTCAGCCGGAATCCCATTAGATCCAGACACCTTTTTGGAAACATCCTGGATACACAGTCAGAAAAGAGAGGAGGTCATCAGTCAAGACTGAAAAGAAAACATCAGACATTTCAGTACAGCAGGCTCCTGATGATGGTTTTAGGTGAGCCAGGAAACAACAATGTGGCAAAGCGATCCATCTAGCTAGATAGCTGTGCACTGGTTTGCAGATTTGAGCAAAGTTTCATCACCAGCATTGGGCTACACTGCACACAACCAATTGATCTATTTTGATATGAGTAGTAACTACTGAAACAATATAGTCAGTGCAACACTGTTAACTCAGAGGATATGTGGTGTCCACTCTTCAAATTCAGCTATGGATTGACACAAAGGTGGTACAGAAAATAGATAACAAGGCAAACCAAATTGTTTCAAAGAAGAAGAAGATGATAAGAAGCATGGGCGGATTTAGGGGTATTCCCCAGTATTCCAAGGAATACCCAACTATTTTGGTACACTTTTACGTAGATATGTGTATATACTTATATATATAAATGTATAATGCTATAATCAATAGTATTTTCGCACATTTCAGCTCAAAACAGGTAAAAAACTGGCCTTTCAATTAGAATACTAGATTCTAGAAAGCAAATATTGGTTTAAAGTTGCTGATTTGCAGTGCTATTGGCTATATTTTAAGTCTATGGATTCGATTTTTTTTATGACGTGGAAGTGGGAATACCAAGTTTTAAATGCTAGCTTCGCCACTGATAAGAAGGTACAGCAAGAGGGCATCTTGCCAGCAACAGCAGTTTTGTGTACATAGTTTATCAGAGGCATGACATGTCAAGGCATGATGAAAGAAACAATTCTGGGTTGCCACCCACCTACTCCAAGAATAGCAAACTGAGGGATGGGCATGTCAAGACGTGACGAGAGAAACAATTTCGGGTTGCCACCTCCACCTATTCTAAGAAAGCAACTTGAGAATGGAGACAGAGGTGGTAGGTTGGGCACGACACGCGCGCGCGCGCACGCGAGGCGCATGAACGCACTAAAATCAGCAGAGGTGGCGAGTAGCTTAATTAATTTCTCCCCGATTGCGGGCCGGCAAAAAAAAAAAAAGAATTCAACTTGATCACTGTCTCTGACATATAAAACACACAAACAAAATGCTCCACCACTGCACTGCCCCTTGAGCAGTGAGCAGTGTAGCAGGCAGGGATTGTAACCTTGAGCAGCTTGTGCTCCATGGCGCCCCCATTCTCCAGATGCCGCTTGCCACGCGCCCCGACGCCGGCCAGCTCCTAGAGCAACCCCAAGCACAACCAAGGCGTCAGGATTTCAGAAGCTGGGAAGACTCTACTAATCCTCTGAGAGGAGGATGTAATTACTCGAAAGAAATTTCAGCACGGGGAGAGTGGCGAAGCTTACGGTGCTGATGACCACGGCGGCGCGGTCGTCCGATCCATATCCTGCTGCAAGCAACAACACGGAGCACGCGACGCGACGCGACGCGCACGGTTGGTTAGAGGATCAGCAAGAAAAAGGGAGGGGGAGACGACAGATCCGAGTCTCGGACGGACGCACGCACCGGCAGGGCGGTGGAGGACGAGGAGGTAGACGAGCGGGAGCAGCGTGGAGCAGACGACGAGCGCCGGCTCGGCGGCCGCCAGCCCGCTGCAGCGGCGCTTGCTGGGCGGCGGCGGCAGCAGCGGAGAGGACTGCTGGTGCTGGTGCCCCTTCATGCCGTGGTAGTGGTAGTGGTAGTGGGCACTGGGCAGTGGCACCTGCTCTGCTCTGCTCTGCTCCGCTCCGCTCCAGTGCTCCTCAACGGAGCGCTGCCGCCAGCCGGAGCCGGGAGGTCAGTGGTGGGTCTGGTGAGGTGGCAATGCAGTTGCTTCCCGCATTAAAAGCTGCAAGAAACAAGCTGAGGCCACGTTTAGTTTTAAAAAATTTCAACCCAAAATGTCACATCGAATCTAGCGACGCATGCATGGAGCATTAAATATAGACGAAAAAAACTAATTGCACAGTTTAATTGGAAATCCCGAGACGAATCTTTTAAGCATAATCAGTCCATGAAAAGCCTTAAGTGCTACAGTAACCCACCTGTGCTAATGACCGATTAATTAGTATCATTAGATTCGTCTCGCAGTTTCCTGATGGGTTCTATAATTTATTTTTTTATTAGTATCAAAAAAATCCTCCCGACATCCTTCCGACACATCCGATGTGACACCCAAAATTTTTTAACTCACCAGCTAAACACCCCCTAAAGCTTCCTCGGGCCTCGCGCGTTTCTGGAACCAACCAGCCAGCCGCGCCGCGCCGCTACACACCAGGCATCAGTGGAGTGGAGACTGGAGACTGGTGGGGAGACTTAAAGATGGCAACGGACACAGAATACCGGCGTACCCACGGATATCAAACCTGGCGGGCGCGGATACGGACGACAGAGTGCATCCACGGACACGGGTGCGGGCAGAGTTTTAAACCCAACGGGCATTTGTTAACGGGTAAGAAAATAGCCTATCCATATCCACAAACCCGCCTTATCTACCTGACATGTGGGGTCACGGCCAACCAAGTATATATTGGAAGACAGAAACCCTAGAATCCCCACCCGGCCACCCCAGCGCCGCAACCAGTCCGCTCGCGCCCCTGCCCTTTGAGAGTCCGAGCCAGCCTCGCTCCAGTCCCTCTCACCGCCTCCTCGTCGTTCCCCGTCCTCCTCACCCGCCGGTACTCCTCATCCTTCCTCACCGGTGGTCCTCCTCCCCGCCGGTTCTAGGAGATCGTGGATCTGGATTCGCGGCGCGGCCTCCTCGTCTCCTCCAATCGCGGCGACCAGCGAGGGCGGCGTGGCTCCTCGCTTCCTCCACTCACGGCGCACGCCCCCCGCCAGATCCCCAGTCGCGGGCTCGCGGCTCCCCGTCCCTGACGCGCCACGCCGCCCGCCCGCCTCCAACCTCCCTACTCGGCGAGCGCGGTGCGGCCTACTCGCCTCCTCCACTCACGGCGACCAGCGAGCGTGGCGCGGCTCCTCGGCCTCGCTTCCTCCACTCACAGCGCACGCCCCCCCAGATCCCCATTCCCCAGTCGCGGGCTCGCGGCTCCCTGTCCCTGACGCCGCCCGCCCGCCTCCGGCCTCCCTACTCCGAGTCTCCGACGCCAGACACCGGCCTTCCTCACCTCCTCCACTCGCAGCGCGCGCCTCCCTCAGATCCCCACTCGTGGCTCCCCGTCCACACCGGCCTCCCCGTCCCCAACACCGGACGCCGGGCGCGCGCCTCCCTAGATGGCCAGATCCCCACTTGCGGGCATGCCCGCGGGCAAAACATGCCCGCGGATAGCGAGCGCGGGTGCATAGTGCTGCCCGTGGCGGGTGGCGGGTGGTGGGCGTGGGTGCGGGCACAGAAATATCCTCGCGGGTGCGGGTTTGTGATACCTGTATCTGCGCGGATTTTACCCGTTGCCATCTTTAGGGAGACGGAGACTGCCTGGAGGAGCCGTGGAGACGAGAGGGAGAGGAGCGGTCTGAGTGGACCCCGCCGGCCGACCGTCCAGGGCCCGCCGCCTCTGCCTTTGCAGTTTTTCTTTGGACGCGTCTTTATCCCCCAATCTCTGCCGTCCTTTTCCATCCCCGACGGGAAAAAAAATACATAGGCAACTCGTCGAACTCCTCGTTTAACTTTATTCTTATCCTTTTATTTTGTTTATTACTCTCTTGTCTCTAAATAAATTAATTTTAAGAGTTATCAAAAGTTAAACATATTTAAAGTTGATTAAAGTATAGAAAAAGCGTCAAAATTTGTAGCATCAGATTAGTATCATTAGGTACACTATATAATAAACTTTCATAATATACTCATTTTGTGTCATAAACATTTATACTCTTTTCTATAAATTTAATCAAAACATAAAAAAATATTTAACTTGAGACAAATATATAAATTGATTTGTTTATGGATGGAGGCCGTATCTATTCCTCGTCAAACATAACGGTGTTTGTTAAATTCTTCAGCAACGTTGATACGTATGATTGAATAAGTAAGAATTTAAAAGGGCCAGTATGATTCTTCATTATAAAAGCAAAAAAAAGGAGAAGCGACTAGTAGCATTGAGCAGTATTCTAAATAGCGGTATAAGACATTTAGCGATCTCCCTCCTATAGCAGTTAATGGCGGGTTAAATCAGGCTACAGCCATCCTGACTCGGCTTATTTTTTTTTTTTTAGCGATCCATGTTTGTTAGAGGCAGCAAGAACCAAGAAGGTATACGTACCTGTAAGCTAAGCTTCTGCTTCTGAACTGTTCCAAACCGACTCAAATCAGGCGAGCAAACTAGGCATCTGATACTCCGCCGAAGGTTTTTTTTATATATATATATTTGATAAAAGACCATATTACTAGTGTACCCACGGTTATTGTTATAAGCATCTCAGATTACAGATCAGAAACTTTGAAAATATGGCAATTTCGAAGTGTGTAAACGCAATACCTTTTTTCCCACAAAGATTAAATATATTTATGCCACAGTTGCTTCCATAGTATGGTTCATGTAAAACTCCAATCATTCAGTGTATTCCTTTACCAAAAAAGAAAAAAAAGAAAAGAAAAAGAACGAAAGCTTCTGTCTTCACCCACAGTTTTTTGTTAGTATAAGAGTCTCAGGCTATTAGTATCATCAGAGACGGGCAATTTCTACAGGAGTCCATTAATTTCTATTGATTAGATCAGCAACTTTGAAAATATGGCAATTTCAAAGTGTACAGCAGCAATACCTTTTTTTCCACAAAGATTAAATATATTGATGCCAGGGTTACTTGTATAGTATGGTTCATGTAAAACTCCAATCATTCAATGTCTTCCTTTACAAAATAAAAAATAAAATGAAATGAAAGCTTCAGTGTCTTCACTGGAGTTTTGTACACAAATTTACTCACTTGTTCGTTGACAGTGGCAGGTTCGAGAGACTTTTATGCTATAAAATCCTTACTGGTGTCCTTTAATGGAACTCCCTGAGAACAAGCTTACCGACTTCATCAAAAGCAGTGAAAAGGCAAAATGGATACCAGTCAACAATCACAATGTAAACAACTTCACAGAAGATGAGATTAAAAGGATAACTAACAATTATAGCACTCCCATTGGCCAAGGTTGCAGTAAAGAAATACACCTTCCAGAATCTGAAAGATGGATTTGCTAAAGAGTTAATCGTCCATTGCCAAATCAACCACAAGAATGTAGTCAGGCTCTTGGGCTATTGTTCTGAGGATGATGCATTAATGATTGTCACTGAGTATGTTCCAGGGGGAAACCTCAAAGATCTCCTCCATGGCAGTGATGCTCCCATTTCTCTGGATGCAAGGTTGCGTATTGCTATAGAATGTGCAGATGCTTTAGGATACATGCATTCATCCATGTACCAACCAATGATTCACAGTGATATCAAACCTGATAACATACTCCTGGACAATAATATGGGTGCAAAATTGTCTGACTTTGGATTATCGAGGTTGCTTTCCATCGACCAAGCTCAATACACCATGCATGTAATAGGCAGCAGAGGTTACATGGATCCACAGTATATTGAGACTGGGCTCCTTGATCCAAAGAGTGATGTTTACAGTTTTGGGGTTGTTCTCTTGGAACTAATTACCAGAGCCAAGGCAAGTGAAAATGGGTTTAGTACTGGCCTGAAAAGAAACTTCACTGATGCTCTTGGAAAAGGAAAGCAGGAGGCACGGAAGATGTTTGACACTAAGATAGCAAACGAGAGAGACAATGAGATTCTTGACGAAATCGGAAATCTGGCAGCACAGTGCTTCACAAAGGATATCATGGAACGCCCTGAAATGAAAGAGGTTCTGGTGAGCCTGCATATGCTTAGAAGATCCCTTCGCTGTGAGAAAGCTCAAGAAAAAATAGGTCAACGCTCATCGTCAGGAACGCAGGCGATAACACAAAAGGTCGACAATCATGGCTCAAGCATTCCCAGATCCAGCTCCAACTCAAGTGTAACCTACACGTTCAGTATCCTAGACATCTTCAATAGGAAATCACGCATGTTCAAGAGTAATGGTGATTTAATACTGAAATCTTGTGGCATAAATATTTTCACCTTAAAAGAACTCAAAAGGATTACCCGCAACTATTCAACTGTAATTAGTCAGGATCATACTAGTTCTGTCTACATGGGACATATCGACGGACAAGCAGTTGCAGTGAGAAGGTATGTTTGTGGGAAAAGAACATTTGATATAGATACTTTTGTTAACTACATGACATTTGCATCTAAGGTTCGCCATACAAATATCATCAGTCTAGTGGGCTGTTGCGTGGAGACGGAATTTCCTCTGTTGGTATATGAGTTTGCCCCCCGTCGGAGTCTGCACGAGCTTCTGCATTGTTATAATGGTACTCTCTCACTTGATTTACGCCTAGGTATTGCAATTGGATCCGCACAGGCATTGGGATATTTGCACTACTTGGAAAAGTTCCATGGCAATGTCACATCTACATGTATACTGCTAGGTGACGATTTTGTGCCAAAGGTCACGGATATTTCTCTTGTGAGCACTAGTGCAAGTGGACTTGTGGAATGTAACGTGGCATACATTGACCCAGTTTACATTAAGACTGGGCTCTTTACATTAAAGAGTGATGTTTATCCTTTCGGAATTGTGCTCTTGGAATTATTCACCAGAAAACAACCAAGACATAATAGTTCTAGCCTCCCGATT